GGGTTTGTATTTATAATCGGGGTACTCCCTAGTGTGCAACAGTCTCAACCTTTCTGCCTCCTCGATGAACAGCTGCTTCTCCTTATCGTCCAGATGTTTCCACCTGGCGCCCAGTTGCTTGCTGATCTCAGCGTTGTGCACCTCTTGTTTGTTCTGTGAGGTAGAAGGTTGGAAGCAAATGAGAATAACAATAATGTTTTCGTAACGTCTCAATAAAATTATTTTTTGTTTAAATAATCATCTAAATTCAAAAACACCATTTATTTATAATTTTTAGTATAATACCTTGTTTACATAGCAAAATGATAAACATTTGTAAACTCTTTCTTGTCAGCACATGGATCATTACAGACAGACTTACTTATTTATTTCTACATTTTACAATCTTGGTTCGCGGAACTAATTTGATTTATGATAGAACACTCATGCACATCAGATAATAATTATTCAAAAATCGATGACACGTCCAATAAAATATTTTCATAAACTGAGTTTCAAATGCATTGAATAAAGCGTCTCGCTAATAATGATTGGATAAAAATTATTTAAAAATAATGATAATTATGAAAAGAAAGAGTTGATGGGGATGACGCTGATGATCAAAGGATAAAGAAAATGATGAGGGATGAAGAAGATGATGATGACCGCAGAAGATTTTACATGCTGCGGATAATAAATAACACGGCGTCATGTTGAGCCACATGCTGCTATTGATGATTTTGCTGAAATGTCTTATCGCATGAATGCGTCACTGTCGCCAGGAAGTGGTTTTCTTTGTCGACCAGACCATATCTCACGCCAAGGCTACGTAATCTTAACGTAAATTAGATTATTGTACTTATAACTTATAAAGAATATGAAAATTTTCATAAAATCTCAGAATTTATTTTCATTTCTTATGTTAGTATAGCGTGGAATGGGAATAAAATTTTCGTTTTTATAACAAGCAGCAGTTTATTTTGAAGAGGTTTGAAATAAAAATTTCTATGCATCTTGACATTTATCTGGTCATTGCATTTTCACAAGCAGCATCAATAAAATTTCCCGACCAACATCTTCACATACTTAGATGGCAGTTTTATTTTAGTCTGGTTGCAAACATTGCGTGAAGAGTGAGTATTGATGTACACAAAATGAAGAATAACATTATTATTATTCATTATTATTTATTATAATTTTTATTATTAATATTATTATTATTTTTATTAGTATGCGGAACAATCGGAACAATGCGTGAATCAACTTTCATAACTATCTATCATCGCTGTACATATTTTATTTTAAATAAAGAGCAATGATGACTAACTATGATGATTATGATTATATTTTAATTTTATTTTAATCATGACTATTTCTCTATTAATTAATTAATTAATTAATTAATCAATTAATGATCTTACGCGTTTGATGAAAAATATAAGATCTGTTCCCAATATTTATACTATATAATTGTAAAGTGTCATGTGTTGTTGTTGTTGTTTGTGCTTCAAGCATCCTAGATGTTTTCGTGAATAACGTCTTTTATATTATAATTCTTCAAAAATCAGGATCTGACAGAGGCAGAAACTGAGACGCAAGTAAGATGCAAGTTGATTTGGAAGTTGAAATGATGAAGAGAAGATAATTCACCATAATTACTTATCAACTTACATCGAAAATGAAAAAAGTAGAAAAGCATAAGGGTGGAGAAGACTTTTATTATAGAATTGAAAGTTTCATTCATTTTGTTGTTGTTGTATATCTGATGAGATAAAATGAAGCAGCAACAACACAATAAACAACAACAGCTCAACAACAATAACAGCTCAACAACAACAAAGGCAGATCATCAACAACAACAACAACAAACAACAACAACCAACACAACAACAAAACACTGGCAACAAAACCAACCACCATGTAATAAATCTGTCGAGGTGAAAAACCAAGTGCACAAAATTTCAGACAACATGTTTTATAAGTCAACGAATGCTCTTCTGTCTCGCGTCAATAATAAAATTTTTAACTCCAACAAATAACTTTGCCATTTTTTAATTTAAACATCAATAAAAAAAGGGCAAAAAAACCAACAGAATTTAAAAAGTTATGAAATTTATGAATCAACATTCACATGTTGCTCTTAAAAAAAGACACCGATCACTAAAAATCATTTCAAAGTTTTTCACTGATGAATACATTGTTTATGTTGCAAACATGGCGTAAAAACATTAAACAACTGTTGAACTGAATGAAGTGAATTGTGATGGAGAGGCAGGTGATTTGAAACATCCAACAAAACCATCAATCAACTAAACCGCGGATACAACTACAATTAAAACTATTCACACCACAGTAAAGTTCTTGAAAACCAACAACCAAGTGAGAGATGCAACTTTTGTGATTTAAATCTCCGCAATTTCGGAATGTTGAAATAGCAAAAAAACAAGCCAGCTACACAAACATAAAGAACAGCATCAAACCGAAATACATACAACCAGTCTATACAACCACAATACAAATACAATACGAATACCATACAACACAGTACGACATAAAACCACAAAAACAGGTCAGCTACAGAACACGTTGTAGTATACGAAAAACAGCCAACGTCATAACCTAATTTTGAAAAGATAAACATTCAAAAAAAAACTGAATGTAAACAGAGACAACAAAAGAACAACAAACCACAAGAGTCTTAACAAAAACTGCAACAACCGAAACAAACAAGCGACACACAGAATGTAAAACAAAAACAATAACAACAAACAACAAAAGGCAGAATTTAAACAACAAAAATGAACAAACTAACAAAAATTATTGATATAAAATTGTAACTGTCACATGGTTGTTATTTTTCTACAGTTAACTCTTACTACAATGCCTTTAATTTGAATAGTTTTGATTGCAACAACAATAACAGCAGAAACAGAACAGTTTTTATTGTAACAAAACCAAAACAAAACTCAAAAATAGAACCATTTTGATTGTAACTAAAACAACAACAACAGCAAAACAACAACAGAATGGTTCTGAATGGTTCAACAACAACATAAAACAACAACGAAAACCGACCTGGGCCATTTTCTTCCTCTCGTGTTGTGACCAGAGTATGAAGGCATTCATCGGCCTGACGACGTGCTTCCTCATCTTTTTCGAACTGGTGGCGTCCGAGTATGGGGTGCTCGAGTCTGCCCTGACTGACAACGACCCAAACTCCAGCGTTGCATCGTGTGAAGGCGACTGGGGTGGTGAGGGTGAGTATGAGTACGATGATGACGATGAGGATGAAGATGATGATGGGGCCGTTGATGGCAATGATGACGTTTGTAAATGAAATGGTGACGTCGATTGTAGCGATGACGATGGTGGCGATGTGATGACAAAAGAGTGTGTCGCGTTGAAAGTTGTCGTTGCTGGTTTGTTGGATGACAAGAGAAGTTGCATTGTCGGGCTGGTTGATGCAGGCAGTTGAAGAGTCACGTGTTTGTTTTGTTGTTGTTGATGCTGATGCTGCGATTGTTGTTGCAGTTTGTGTTGATGTTGTTGCAGTTGTTGTTGATATTGTTGCAGTTGTTGTGGGGAAATGATAATGCAGTTTGTGTTTGGCGCGCACTGTTGTTGCTGCTGTTGGAATGCTGCTTGCATCAACAGTTTGATCTGCTGACTGTTGGTTTGGTGGGCAGTTGATGGTTTTGCAAATATTTGAAAGGGAACTCGTTTCAATGTTTTGCTGTCGTTGTTGAATAAACTGTTGATGAGGCTGCTGTTCATCATGATGTTGTCCCCGTCTGGAGTGTGTTTGTTGCTGAGGCCAACTAAACTCGTGTCAGCTTCGTCGAGAAAACTGTTGTTGGAGTTTGTATTCTGGGTGTTGTTGTTGTTGTTGGTACGGCTGTTGAGGCTAATGAAAGAGACAAGAGGTTTGTACTCCATGCCAAACGTCTAAACATTCAGACATTCAGAATAATTATTATCTCCTAACAATTCTATCACATTTGCCACATTAAATAAAATTGTCATTAATGAAATTAAACCTTATAAACCAATTAATAATAATATAATATTTTTAAACACATTTTTTTTATAAATTGAAAACAATTAAAACATCTTTTTAAAACCAGAGAGCCAAAATCGAATTGCTTCATGGAAAACCTGACACGAGCACCTCTATATATACACACGGCAGTCTCATCGCTAATACCTCATTGAACAAACAAAAAACCAACACACATTTCAAACTATTCCTATCTATTTAATTACATCTATATACTAATAAATATCATACAAGATATGTATCCATATGATTATTTGTTTATATTGTATGTTTATGTTCGTTATGCATGTTCATATACGGATATATGGTGTCACATCTCAACCACCACCAACAACCAATGAAATTATTTCATCCTTGCTCCTATATTGTTGGTGTATGTTTTGCCAATATATGTAACGTTACGGTTCGTATACGTATATATATATATATATATATTATAGACATATAGACATATATATATATATATATGCATATATAATTTATATATACATATTTGTATGTATGTTTGTATGAATGTTTCTATATACAATATACGCATACATACACAATTTCACATGACCATACATACATACATACATCCATCGACACGTGATGAATCATATCAGCGCACATCAGTACATGTATGAATGTGTCAAGCAGAGCAGGGGAAGCTTATAGAATTTTTATACCTTTGTATGTAAGCATATACATACATATCTATATATACATATATTTATATGAATCAATGTATGTACGTACATACAAAGTCATACAAATACATGTATGAGTAGGGATACATCATCATATATATTAATGAACAAACAATATACAATTTTATAGACAAATACATGTATGTATATATATATATATATATGTGTGTGTGTGTGTGTGTGTGTGTGTGTGTGGGTGTGTATGTATACGTACATGTATATATTTATATATAAAGCATATATAAACATATATTTGGTATATTTATATGAGAATTATAATTCCTTTTCCTGATTGGTTAAAAATTTGCTGACAATGTTTTCATTTGAGATTTCCACATTGTTTATTATATATATATACGCATATATGTATGTATGTGTGTTATATATATATATATGTATCATATTTATATATAATATATATATCATAAATATACATAATAATATATATATAATATATTTTGTGTAGATAGAACGGCGCGTACTATAACGTACAACACGAATGAACTCAAAACATGTTGTTACACTAATATAACCGAGTAACAAATACATCTATCTACCTGCCAAAATTGAACGGATGAATTTATTACTTTTCTATGTACGTTGTGGGTGTTGTTTTTGTTATTTTCTGTTGTTGTTTGGCCGGTGTTGCTGTTTGTGGTTGGGAAATTTTATCATTTTTGGAGGTGTAAAAATGTAACATTTGCCGTCTTTATGTTATTATTTGGTGGTCCTGTTACATATCACGATCTACTCGCTGTTACAATTTGTTTTGTTGTTATTCTTGCTATTGATGTTATTGATTTTACGTTGTTGTTGTTCGTGCTGTTGTTAGTTTTGCCGTTATTGTTGTCGATGTTTCTATGGTTATTTTTATTTTCTACGTTCTTTTCCTTATAACGCATTGGTAAGTGCATTTTTTTTACATTTTCTACCCCTGATCGATTTCAGATCTCAACGCAAATTCACGAGTATTTAAATAAATGAACGGAGCGAGTGAGTAAACGAATAAAATCGAATGTTCCAGTTAACGTGTTGATTTTCTTATTCAGCCTGCCAAATTTTTGTAGTACAGACTCAAATGAATGATGAGATACAGCATACTGTTAATATGTATCAATAAATAACCAGATGAGTTGTCGGAACTTAATGTTTGACATAACACATAACATAATAGTTCAAATAAAGGTCGCGAACTAAAATAAATTCCTATGCCCCCAACAAAATCATAACCAAAATAAAACCAATTCTAAATAACAGAAAATAATATGATCGAATTAAAACAACTGGTCTGAAATAAACCACAATAGTATTAACCAAACTGAAAGAGATATAGAACAATATATATATATATATATATATATATATCAAGCTTATAGTTAAATTTAAAAAATTTTGTATCACAATTTCTTCAAGTTTAATGTTATTACAATTCATGTTTGTGGCAAAGCATAATCACATAATCACACACGAATACACATACGCCGCACAAATAACGACACATACACCTTCACACACACACACACACATACACTTATACATACTTAGTTTATGGCAAAATAAACTCAAACAAAGCATGAAATGTAATGATTTATCATAATGATGTTGTTGTTGTCATTTAGCGTTGTTCTATATTAAGGATAAAAAGAAGGGGATGATGTAAAGACACGTCAGTTGAATTTGATTGAGTATTACCCGATAACACATTTTGCAAATATTAGCGATGTAAATTTAATGCATGTTTCTTAATAAAAAGCCTTAAAAATATATTGCAGCGCATAAACTTCACGATATGTCTCTTCGCGAAATGTCGATATTCAATGATGATTATAAAAATTATTGGATTCTTACAATTTATAATCAGACTGATCACATTTTATTTGCAAACAATTAATTCAATGCATACACTCGAGAAGAATATTAAAAAATCTACTGACATAGTTGTAGATGATATTCTCATTATTATGTCAATCATACATAAATTACAATTCAAACATTTAATAAAATAAACTAAGGGCAAAAATTTGAAAATAATAAAAAGTATCGATTAATTTGCTTTTGTTCTTATTAAATTAATAAAAAAAGAAAGCGCCCGATATGGGACTCGAACCCATGACCCTCAGATGACTTGAGGTACTCAGCTCTTAAAAGTCTGATGCTCTACCGACTGAGCTAACCGGGCTCACGCAGGCTAGTCGCTTAAAACATATGCAGATAAGATGAGCCAGTGTTCTCACAGGCCGTTAAAACTACGAACCGCGTTCTGAAAAACTATTTTATTTTGTTTTCCCGAGCAACAAGAGTTGAACGTTTTATGGACGTTCAACTCTTGTTGCTCGTGGTTAATTAATTTAATATTAATGAGATGCATTTTAAGATTAATTAGAGGTGTTTTTATGCGATTTTACATTACATACATAAACATGAGATGCTTAATTAGAGATGTTATGCGATGTTACAGATTACATACCCAGCTTGTTTATCGCAGCGACAATCATCATTAATTGCTCTACAAAATGTTTACAACGAAACAACATAACACGTACACGACGGTGTGGTACCCCTAACACCAGTGCCCTCTTACGACATACATCAATTAATCATATTAATTATTAATTAACTAATTAATGTTTACTTTGGCTTGTCTTACTAGAAGTTGAGCATTCAATGTTAGGTATGGAAAGCCAGAACATAACATAACAGAAAATAATTTAATGGGCGCCGCTGTTCAACCCATAAGCCCAATTCATCAAATTTAATTAATTAAAAATGAAAGCATAAATTGTTCAAGTAATAATAAAACTACTACACAGACACACACTCATACGTCTCAAGTATATCCACCCACACTCATACTCACAGCCAACCCAAATATCAATCAAACTGGATAATTTGCATGCCATTCGTACCTCACCTCAAACCCAAAGTGAATTTGTCAAACAAAACTTTAAATTGGTAGATTCAACTTCATTTAATAAACACTTTCTTATTTTATAACCAAGAAATGAATCGATATTTTTTACGTATAGACATCCATACATAGTTATCCGCATTGAAAACCACATCGTCCCCCCAATCAAATTGTTCAAAACCATCTGCAAATATTCCCTATCAAACTCTGAAGTATTATAAAAAAAAATGTGTTTCGATAAAGTTTTAATTGTTATTTTTCGGGTTTTAAAATAGTTAAGCCTGCCGTAAATTAATAATCTTCACGTCCTGCTCACTCACTTTTGAAAGGTAGAAAACGGGTCTTCATTGTTAATCGGCTTAAAGATAATCCGAATAAATACAGGTATGTAATTTTGTTGTTTTCAATTGTTGCAAAATGTAAAACAAAAACTGCCCGATGTGGGACTCAAACCCATGACCCTCAGATGACTTGAGGTACTCGGCAGGGCTCTGAAGTT